TCTTGAAAAGTATTGTGCACTAAAAGTCTGGCATAATTTCAAATTCTAAATATACTTATGAAACACTTTAAACATGTATACACTCATATTTCTAAACAGTTGCTAATCTTGCTTTTGAAAGCAGGGAGTTATTTTCTTAGGAACTACTGCATTTATATCTTCGAACTGAAAATGTCTTACGGATCCTATGATTGGTAAGAAATTTTTCATATAGACAATGGTTCTTCAGTTAAGTATTAGATTAGAACTTGGAATCTGTATATTGATAGATGCTGATAATAAGAAACAATTATAAAAAGAGAATGGTTCATGAATTATAAAAAATTACTTCTTTCTTCAATTTAAAAACTCCTTAGATGCATGTTTAAAGCAATGCTTAATAAATAGCATTTACACAAATTCAAATTTATTAATGATTTTAATAAATCTTCAAAATATCACTCAACAATTAAAAAAATAAGACAATTTTATCTGTCCTTTTACAGAATTTGCTAACAAGTCTGTTCCAGACATTATGCATAACATACCCTAACAGTTTTTATATATGCAGTTAACAATCAAAAGAATACCAGAAAAGCTGGTATCCCCCCCCCACAAAAAACTGCAATTGTACTACTTAAGAACTTGTTAGATGAGAATCAGATGTTGGGAATATATGGATAATCAGGAAGTACCAAAATAACAGCGAAATAAGTTTTTCAAAACATTTCTTTACAAAGTCTGTTTTCAATAATTTGCTAACGGATACTATACTGCACTTTATGTATATTTTTATAATCTGTGAAAAAATATACATACAAATACTGCTTTTAAAAAAATGTACTTGAATAAAAATTAGTACTAGAACGTAACAATAAAACTATATGGAACTTTCCAAAACTGAACTTCACATGAATTAAAACAAATTTTAAATCTTAGGACAAAACTCCGACATTAGTTGTATAACACCATTTAGTTTAGTTTATTAATACAATTATCTACTACATCTAAAATATACTTTCAGAAATTATAAACAGTTTTATATAGGATGATTTAAATAGCTTCTGCAGCTCTGGAAGTCAACAAAACATTCTAATCACCTTTTAACTTGAATGCAAACAGCTTTAAGCAACAGTATATTTTTGTTTCAATATTTCAAAGCCATAACTGACCATGAACAACTCTTACTTTATTCAGTAAAAGGGTAAAAATATTGTTAGAAAGTATGCATAAAGAACTCTGAAACCCTACAGCATAGTGTACTAACATTTATTTTTGCAGTTTAAGAACACCAAGAAACCTATTCTAAGTATCTTGGAGCTGGACTGAAACATCTCTTCCTTTTATGAAGGAACTAACTACAATATAGCAGCAAATGCACATATAATAGCTAGCTTTTCACTAAATGAATTATTTATTATATGATTCTGATTGAATACTTATGATTCTGATGTAATATATTTTAATAAATATTCTAAATTTGAGGTTGTTAGACTAATTTCAGTTTGCAATTTCTTATACTTTTATGCTAAAAAATTCTATACAGAGAAGGAAGCTTTTATTTATCAATACACTTTAAATATATTCAAGATAAAATTAATACTTAATGTGAAATTTTATCGCATGAATAAACTTACTAATGTACCATTTATTAATGTAAAAGTGCAAATATTAAATGATTAAACATTGAATCTTTATAAAAGGTTTACAATGTCAAATTAAAACAATTCAGATGAAATAAAATTTAATAAGAAAAATTATGCTGAAAACCAGCAATAGTGAAATAACAGAATTTGCAAAATTCAAATTCCCTTTAAGTTTTCCTTAAATTAAAAAAACGAAGATATTCAATGATCTACTGGAAGACATGGAAAAAAAAAAAGCTTCTTTATAAAACTAGGAGATATATAGCAACTAAGTACAAGTGCATTAAATTACAGAAAGGAATTTCAATATTTCATAATTTATCTATTCAGAAACAAGAATGAACGTTGTCAGAGAGTGTGCATAAAAAAACTATGAATTTCAATAGCATAGTGGTCTGACTATCTATTTTTGCAGTGAAAGGGACACCAAGAAGCTTATATTAAGCACCTTGGAGCTGAACTGCAGAGTACACATGAATATTTTTAAAGTAACGAAATTTCTCAGAAATTATGTAAAACCGCAGTGCTTTACTTCGCTAGTGCATTCTCATTAGAATTGATGAATTTAACCCTTGTGTTTGCCTTTTTTTTTTATTTTCGACTTCGGGTGAGCGGTGTGATTGCATCCTAATTGACTTAATTACCGCAAATGGTCTTGGGGAATAAAAATTGAATCATCTGGTAAAAATTCTATGTAATTGTATGCCAGTATTGAAAGAAGAAACAATCAATCTGATAAGAAATGACTGCGACTTATTTTGAAAGTGAAAGTTAGGCATAAAAGGTTACCAGCGAGGATATTCTGTTTGGCGTCAATTGTACCATTACTGGCGACTTATCACCTGCGCCGGCAAAATGGAAAAGTACCTTCCAAACTGACCTAAAGTCACTTTATAAGGCATGATTCACTTTAATGAACTACCTATATATGACCCATTTAATATATATTTATATTTAAGTAGACCTAGGTTATCACTTGCTTGAGATAGAACAAGTAATAGTCACCATTAAACCTTAGAAAATAATATAGATGAAGAGCAGAGGTATTTATATGAATACATGGAAGTAAATTTTAGGCATTTAAATATTTGTTTAGTTATATTTTGGAATTTTCTTACACTTTTATACTGAGGAGCTTCTTAACAGGTTTTCAAATACAATGAAAATAAAATTAGTATACATACTATTGAGTGGATATTTTTAGTAATGTAACATTAATATGATATATTAGTAAACATACTGATGTAAAACAAAATTAAATAACACAACAATTAACTGATTAAATACTGGCTGAATCTCCTAAAAAATTTGTGATTGTCTAAAACTGATTAACACAATTTCCACAAATTTAAATTTAATCTATTCAGTACGTTTATTATTTAGAAACATTTTCCTCAGCTGGCACCTATGCTTTAAGAATTTTCAGGCAACATTCACATATTGTTAGATATGCAATTTTTTCAATTGATATTAACACACTGATTGCCACAGCAAAATCCTTTACTCTACTCTTTTACTAATACTAGATATTTTTTTAATTCTAGTTTCTTTTTGACCCATTTATCCTAAAAATTAATTCAGTACTTAATTTAACTTTAACTTTTTAACTGTTTTGCTTACTTTCATTGTTTTCAACATGAATCACCAGTGATTCATGCAGATTTTGTTTAATTTGTTGCTAACAGGGCCATGTGTATCTCCAGTGATTCACTCATCTTACTGTTTTCTTTCATTAGATTGAGTTTTAGGTTATTTGATTTTTCAATATTTGATATTTATCTTTATATTCTTACTTCCACATAAATAACAATTGCTTAAGTTACTACAGCAAATTATATATTAAAATCATACAACAATTTATGGAAAAAAGCTTCCAGAAGGCAAAAAAACAAGAATACAGAACAACTTTCTGAGGCCGTAACTGTATAAACTTATGCTGTGTGAAGCACTGGTGACCGAGGTAGCTTCAAATAATACCAGAACTGCAAGCCGCATTTGATGCACGTGGATCATTGACGATGCACATTGTATTCAATGTTTTTAATAACAAACGTAAAATTTTGCAAAACTCAATCTGTTATCAGGTCCAAATTCTGAAAGTATGCATACGTATGCATTATGTGTATATGTATATATGTATGTAATGCATACGTATGCATTATGTGTATATGTATATATGTATGTGTGCATATATGTGTGTATACATATACATGCACATGTACGTACCTACTAGCATATATACATTTATGAATCCAGTCCTGATAACAGAACAGTAGCAATTTTTCCAATTAAGTAGAATAACAAATACTGAATACTTTTACTTAATTCAAACCAGTTCATCGATTATGCACAACCTACAATGATGCTCTATGCATATAAGATAAAAGTACCTGATGTAGACACCACAACTTCCTTGTATAGCCTATAACTATACATTTTTTGTTGTACTTTATTTAAATTTATTTCCTTGAATTTCAGAAATATATTTCTAATTCAATCTCTGCTGTACAAGACGAGGAACATAAGAACAATGGAAGTGAATTATTGCTTTTAAAGCAAAAAAAAAAAAAAAAAAAAAATTAGTATTTTAATATGTTTACAGCAGCTGACTGCAATGTAAAAGGAAGAAGTGCCATATACAAAATTTCAACATTCTACAGCTACTCATTCTTGAGTTATGCAAGATACATCTATCAATACATACTTAACGAAAATTCTCTTCTAAATCCAGTTTGGAAAAGAGGCTTTTTTTCCGTTCAGCTTCAGACAATAACAATTTTAAATTTTGTAACCAAAAATTACTAATCATGGGGATATTCTGAATGAGGATTTTATCTCAAATACATCATATTCATTCTCTAATTCTCGGTCTTGTATAACACTGTTAATGATGCAGATACTTAAAAATTCTCCTAAGGTTAAAAATTAAAAACAAGGATTTTCAGTATTCTACCTAAAAGAAATTATGAAAATGAACAAGGCAGACCACCTACAGAACCTACAGAATTACTAATAAAATGTAGTAAAAACCAGATAATGATTTGGGAAAATATTATCTACTATTCTGCTAAAGGCATGAAGAAAATAAGCTAAATATGTCAATATGGTGCCAAGAATATGTGATATAGCTTTAAAGGAAAAAAAAGTACCTCAAACTTAATTTTATAGTACAACATTTTGTATTTTGATAGCTCAGAAAGGCTAGAATATATACTGCAGGATATTTTTATATATTCAAAAGAAACAGAAACAAAATAATTTCTCTCTGTAATTTTTTAATTCTGCTTCACAAGTACTGAACATAATTTCAATAACATGTAACATAATTGAAATATTTACTTCTATTAACATAAAAAAATCTAAAACGTTACTAACTGTTGTGCTTGATCCTGAGTTTCATATGTTACATAACCACTGCAACTATCTTCAGTTTTCCCAGCGCCTGCATTTCAAAACAGAATAAAAGAATATATCAAACTTCAAAAGCAGAAAGTTTTAAAACCAACACAAACAATAAGACTTATTCAAACAAAAGTCTGAAATCAGTTACAATTAATATTTTCAGCTGTACACAAATATTTGTTATATTAAAAAGTTCAAATTTCTTAGATGATTAATGAAATTATAAAAATTGCTTTTTTAAACATGCCATAAATTTCTATATTACAGTAGCTTGTTAAGCAATGAATTAATTGCTCTGCCAAAAGGCAGCTGCTGAGAACTGCTCGTTGTTAGGCTATACACAAGAAAATTTCTTACGATATATCATTAAGTACTGATAATATGATAGAACGTGCACGACAAAGATCTTATGCCTTGTGAAATAACAGCACTTGCCAGACTGTATGAAATCTGATGGATGAATTAATGCTACCAATAAAGAAGAATCATCTTCTTCCTATTCCCATACTTAATTCCGCACTGTTCTATTATTGGAACTGGATTCAGAAATGTATATATGTACGTGTTCTTGTGCATTCATGTACACATACATTTTTGGATCCTGTCCCAATAACAGAACAGTGCACTTAATTTTCAAACATTTTTTATTTCAGTAAGTGATTAATCATATAAACAAATGCCTTAATAATACTGCTGATGTCTTGATTTAAAATGTTTACAACATGTGAATAAGTAGTGTACTAATCACAATATGCACCAGTACAAATTTACAAATTTGGAAATTAATTTTTCATCATTAAGTTGTTTTACTTAAAAATACCTTAATTAATAAAAGATTCCTTTCAACAACCAGGGTTTACCATAAAATGTCAGATACCTACCTTTATCACACTGCAAAATATTTCCAAATGTGGAAAATAACCTTTTGACTTCATCCCAAGAAACGTGTTCAGGAATATTAGTTACATTAAGTTTATTTGTACGATTCCTAAAAGAAAAAACAATGAATCATTAACATGATCAGCAAAAAAATGAATTAGAGAAGTTAGCAAAAGAAAAAAAAAAATGAATCATTAAGATGGTAAGTTTATAAAAGTCACTTAAGCAAAAACTGTAGCTTCCTTTACAGTCTTAATACCATTTAAATGTATCAAAATACTTTGCGAATGAAGAGTAGTCTTAATTTAAATAGAAACCATATCTATTATAGCTTTAGGCATCTTCAAGTAACAGTGAAGTATTTTTCTACAATACCCAAGATTAAGATCATAGGTAAGATTTACAAATCAGAAGTCTCATTCACATTCATCAACAAAATGCAATTATACAGTCAAAAGTCATTAATCCGGACTTGTCGGGACTTCGGCAATTCCGAATTATCGGTTTTTAGATCATCAGTTTAAATCTGGTCAGATGGCATGCAGAAATTATAAAATTAAAAATATGAAACCATAATTTATGAAATAAAAAACAATTATGATCTAAACGGTATCAAAATTTACCACAAAAAATCTAAATATTTATTTGTTTATTTTATTAAACATTTCTTTCAAATGTAAGTTGTTTAAGTTGCTTTGTTTTATGTGCTAATACTTTCTCTTTAGTTCTATATAAACAGGCATAATTTCTTGTTCAGTTACAAAGTTCCGCTGTTCAAGTCCTGTAATTGCTGTGCCGAGAATACCGACTAGCTTGTCAATCGAAATTTTTTCGTTTTCACTAATCTCTCTGTCACTTTCTTCATGCCTTTATCCATTTTTTGCAGCAATTCCATTGTTTGATGGATATCGAAACCTACTTTCGCTTTATAAATCCTTTTGGAGCTCCAGCATCGGAAATTCTATTTGACATGACCGAAAGTTCAAGCTTACTTTTATAAAAGAACAGTCTGCAAAAAATAATAAGCCGGATCCAATTCGAAGATTAAGAAACAACGCAATCTACAATATTAACTGAAATAGATAATTAGATAATTTTAGCTTATACTGTCTGTTATAGATTAAACGTGCATGCATAAATGTATTATGCGCAGCCATAAAGGCTTTATGCGCATGCGTCAAGCTTTGAGGTCCGAATTATGGGTCCGAATTAACGAATTTTGACTGTATATATTTGCATCTCCAAAATAAAGTTCCCATTATTCCAAGAACAAAAAGGACATACAACGAATTTTAACCAACGAAATTTTAACATTGAAGACAGAGCGTTTCAGTAAGCATATTTAACATAGTTTTTCACTGCTTTTATAATCTGACTGGCTTATATTATAAAAGGCAGTGAGGCATTTGCCTCAGGTGAACAAACAGGATGCTATGAAAATTTAGAAATTCATTCAAAAGAAAAAATATTTTTAACTTTGGAATATGACAAAGAATATGAAGAATTCTGTGCTGTAAAGAAGCTACCTTAATTAAGAAAAGAATTAGTAACATTTATTCTCAAAAGAGATAAAGTTAAACAGCAGTGTATATTATTTTATAATGTTAAAATTTATTATTGGAAGTAGCATAGTGAAATCAATTTACCCTTGTTGTAGCGAGCTGCATAGACAAAACTTGGATGAAAAATATTATGCTTCCAACATGTCTCAAATTTGCACTATTCCTACTTCTCTATTTTCCCAAGTCCACTACAGAGTACAGATCACTACACAATTGCCCAGTTTTTTTTGTAACGTAATTCATAAAAGACCATTGGAATAGGATCAGAACAAACAAGGATATTTGAAAATGAAATGTACCATTAATCTTTGCTTTTTTAAGTAAAATTGGTGCTACTTTGGTAGACGGTTGCACGGATTTTTGGCGATTTACGTTGCCACAATTGTTGGAGTGATTTTTACAATCGTCAGCCATCTTGAAAAACGCTGTTTTTACGCATAGTAAAGTATTCGAAACTTTAAAAAAATAAATATCGTTAAAAGTAACGGATTAATTTTGTTGAAAATGCCGTTTTTTAAGATGGCAGGCAAGCGTAAATAAATACATTTACTATCAGTATAAAATACTAAAGTAAGGCTATTATTACTTTCATATAGCAAAAAAGAATAAAAATACCGCTATAAAAACATTGTGCCAACGTTTAATTACATTAAAATATTACTGAAATTGAATATCGAATTAAAAAACATCCTACCAACATTTAAAAGAATTAGATTATTATTAAATTAAAATACTTTTAAAATACGTTATATAGAATATAATTAACAGAGCTACTTTGGTACACGGTTGCACGGATTTTGGCGATTTTTCTTTTGGCGAGTAATACAACTTTATGGTAAACCCATTGTTGGATAAGTTATTTATGGTAACCGATACTTTGTTGTCATTTTATTTAAAAAATAGTGTTTTATTATGCATAACTTCCGTGTTTTAAATATTATTTATGGCTTCTAAATATTAAAAATAAATTTAATTTTACATTTTTATTTGAAATAAAAATTTTGTTGTTTATAATATTTTATACAGTCAGAAGTCGTTAATCCGGACTCGTCGGGACTTCGGATTATCGATTTTTCTGCATTATAGATCATCAGTTTAAATCTCGTAAGATGGCATGCAGAAATTCTAAAATTAAAAATATGAAACCTTAATTTATGGAAATAAATAACAATTATAATCTAAAGGGTATCAAAATTAACAAAAAAAAAGCTAATATTTATTTGTTTACTTTATTAAACATTTCTTTCCATTAAACTTTTTCTTTTATTCTTGTAAGTTGTTTTTTAGTTGCTTCGTTTATGTGATAATACTTTCTCTTTAATTCTATAAACAGACACAATTTCTTGTTCAGTTACAAAGTTCCGCTGTTCAAGTCCTGTTAATTGCTGTGCCGAGAATACCGACTAACTTGTCAATCGAAATTTTTTCGTTTTCATTAACCTCTCTGTCACATTCTTCATGTCTTTATCCATTTTTTGCAGCAATTCCACTTTTTGTTTGATGGACATTCATTTTGTACGATCCTTTGGGAGCTCCAGAATCAGAAATTCTATTGATGCTACTTTGGTAGACGGCTGCACGGATTTTGGCGAGTTCTTGGCAGTTTTTCTTTTGGGGATTAATACGACTTATGGTAAACCCATTGCTGGATAAGTTATTTATGGTAACCGATACTTTGTTGACATTTTATTTAAAAAATAATGCGTGTTATTATGCATAAATTCAGTGTTTTAAATATTATTTATGGCTTCTAAATATTAAAAATCAATTTAATTTTGCATTTTTATTTGAAATAAAAATTTTATTCTTTATCATATTTTATGAAATTTTATGCTGTGGATGATGTAATTAGAGTAATTGGTTTTAATATCTATAAATTTAATCTAATGTTTTAAACATTATTTATGGCTGTTAAATATTAAAATACAATTTAATTTTGCATTTCTTTTTTAAAATGATTTTATTATGTATGATTATTTAAATAATTTTAATTCTAGGCGTGATGTAATCAGCTCTCTGATTGGTTTCAGAATATTTGTGCATTAATGAGCTGTAATCAGTTCCCTGATAGGTTGCTGAAAATTTGTGCATTACCGCGCCATTTTAAAATTTAATTCACATCTTCGAATTCCTTCAAAGATGAATGTTGTTTTTGATAAGTACCAAGAATTTTTGGTTTCGGAATCAAAAAATTGTCCTTTGAGACCTTATTTTCGCCAGCCTGGCTTTCCTAATCAAAGATTTATTTATAAATTCTTACAAGGGTCAGAGGAAATTTATTTTAAATTTTTGAAGGAAACGTCGCTAATTGTTTCTTCAATGAAGTGCGAAAATGTAGATTCACAGGATGAAGACCGTTAAGAACAGCCGGATTCTAAGGACAGCCGTGTATGGTATTGTGGTCACGGTGGTAGAAATAACCGCTGTAACGGTTAAAAATTATTAGACATTCCTCCTTTTTTACCAACAATAAACTAATTGCTGTCATTTTAGCTCTAGTGTAAGAAGCGTTCTTATTTACTTATTTTAAAGTATTTAATTTAAGTAATATTTTAATTCTTTTAAACGTTGGTATGATGGTTTTTTAATTCGATATTCAATTTACGTAATATTTTAATCCAATTAAACGTTGGCGCAATGTTTTTATAGTGGTATTTTTTATTCTATTTCTATGCTATATGAAAGTAATAATTTAACCTTTCTTTAGTATTTTATACTCGTAGTAAATGTATTTATTCTATATAATAATATATATTCTATATAACGTATTTTAAAGTATTTAAATTCAATAATATTCTAATTCTTTTAAATGTTGGATGATGTTTTTTATTTTGATATTCAATTTCAGTAATAATTTTAATCTAATTAAACGTTGGCACAATGTTTTTATAGCGGTGTTTTTATTCTCTTCTTTGCTATATGAAAGTAATAATAACCTTACTTTAGTATTTTATACTCATAGTAAATGTATTTATTTGCACTTGCCTGCCATCTTTAAAAACGATATTTTCAACAAAAAAATTAATCCATTATTTCTAACGATATTTATTTTTTTTTAAGTTTCGAATACTTTACTATGCGTAAAAACAGCGTTTTTCAAGATGGCTGACGTTTGTAGAAATCGCGCCAACAATTGCGCCAACGTAAATCTCCAAAAATCCGTGCAACCGTCTACCAAAGTAGCACCATTCTATTTGACATAATCGAAAGTTCAAGTTTACTTTTATAAAATTGCTCTTACAGTTTGCAAAAAATAATAAGCCGGATACACTTCGAAGATTAAGGAACAACGCTATCATCAACATTAACTGAAATAGATAATTAGATAATTTTAGATTATACCGACCGTTATACATAAAACGCGCACGCGAAAACATATTCTGAGCTTGCGCACACGCATAAGCGCAGTGGTAAAAGGTCTTACGTGCACGCGTAAACGCATGTGCGCATGTGTCACGCGGCGCATGCGCACAGTTTTTAGCTTTGAGGTCCGAATTAACGACTTTTGACTGTATAATTTTATGTTGTTGATGATGTAATCTATGAC